TTGGGCTGGGCATTCTTGGTTTGGGCCATAGTTTGGGCTTTCTACGTTTGGGCCTTGTTGGGCCATTAGACTTATGATTTCGGCTTTTAACTAGTATATTAGGCTTTTTGGATTTAGGCCCATGATGGGTTTTGGGCCCATTTCGGAAGATTGGGCTATAATTGGGCTTTAGGTTGCCATTTAGGATTTAGGCCTTTTGAGTAGTTGGGTTGGGCCTTGGCTTTGGGCCAAGTTAGCAAAAGGGTAAAGTTGTCTTTTATCCTGTTTATGGGCTAAGTAGCTTAGATTCTTGGTTATGGGTCGAGATCCAATTAATAATTGGATATTATTTTGACGATGATAGTGCGGGGATTTTCCAGACCAGCAGACAGAGATTCATTTGCGTATTTCAGCAGCTAGAGGTGAGTTTTCTCACTGTGTTTAGCAGGTCGAAAGCACCAATGCCGGCCCATGGTTTGTTATGTTAGGATGCTAGATGTCTGTGTGACTCTTGCATGTGTTATGTACTTGTATGCTTACCGGGCGGGGCCTGATGATCATTATGTATGTTATTTATCTTTGTGATTATTACATGTGTTATGTGTTTATCTGTTTATATGTTTATACGTATACCTGGCGGGGGCCGATGACTAACAGATCTGTAAACTAAGCGGGGCTCGATGTCGGGCGGGGATCGTTATATGTGTATTATGTATGGTATGTAGTATTTTGGGGAACTCACTAGACTTTGTGCTTACGGTTTTCAGTTTATGTTTTTAGGTACTTCTTGTTCGAAGGGGAAGAGCCCGGGATGATTGCAATGCACACACCACCTCGTTTCGCATTTTTATGTTACTATGATGTTTTGTGATGTAGTTGATACACTCTGTTTCACCATGGTTTTTATGATGATGTTTTGGATAATAGTTTTATTAATTTAAAAACGAAAATTTTTGTTCTTAATTTTTGGGACGTTACAAGTTGGTATCAGAGCCTTAGTTTGAGGGATTCGGACATACTCTCGGGTATGTTTGAACTTAAACTGAGGGTTTGGTAAAAATTTTCAAAAAGGAATGTTTTATAAAAAGGGTTTCTAATAAAAGAAAAGGGTGTGATGCATGCAATCGACCGAACTCAAGTAAGTTTTCCCAAAATACCCATGCATGTTTCATGATATGCTTTGATTTATGAATCTGTGAAACGCATGCTAGTTAGGGCTAAGGATCTACTCAGGATTTGCATGATAGAATGCTAAGAGAGATGCATTTATATGCCTACCGCATGAGCTCTTAGGCTTGAATGCTAGTACTGATCAGTCAGTGATAGGATGGCTTGATTAGGTTATGCATGATTTTGATTACTCAATGCTCAAATGTTGCTTGCTTTGTGATCTTTAGGAGTTCTCACTAACTTCAGCTATCTAGTAAGCGAATATGCTAAGTTACATATTACAGAAACTAAATAATTTTAGAAGGTTAGGTTTTAACTCTATTGCGCAGCTCTTGTTTGAGATCCAACCTTTGTAGTGTGAGACTTTTCATTCGAAGAATTATCTGGTGTCAGTGATAGATAATTATATTCGTGAGCTAGTTAGAGGGTGTTAGTAGGAGTTTCTTCTGCAACTGATGGCAGAGAGTGGTATGACGTTTGCCCTAGGAGAACCTAGGAAGAGATTTAGTGTTGGGAGCGTTGTCTTATTGAGGAGTGTATGTGTGGATAATGAGTAACTTGGAGGATTCAAAGCGGTCCTTGAGGAAAGTACAAATAGATGTAGAAGGTAGTATGGGCCTGTACTACTGGAAGCAGAGGATCCGTACTCGAGTCAAGGAGAACTGCGATGAAACTAGGAAACTTGTAGAGTATGAGACTCCTCAATATATATATATATATATATAGATATATATATATTATATATATATATATATATATATATATATATATATATATATATATTTATATATATTGATGTGTATTCTGATGATTTGTATGGTCTATTTTCAGTATGGTGACTCTTCGAGGCAGATCGGTTAGTGGTTCTGGTGCTGGTGAGGGTTCAGGCTCGGGTTCTAGAGCCGGGCAGTTGGATGATCAGACGCGATAGTTCATTTCGTCTGAGATTACCCGTAACTTACTTGAGCAGAATCTTGTGTTCTTTGGTACGATCAATGGGGGTATCATGGAGGTGTTGGAGGAGCGTTTGTGCTCTTTCCATTCTGATATGGTGGCTTTGATTGGGGCACATTCGTTGACCTTCAGGAAGTTCCGGGCATGTGGGGCTCCGAAGTACTTCGGGGAGAAGGACCCGATCGGGAGTAGGCGTTGGTTAGCAGATGTCGCTAACGCCTTCTACACTAGCAGTTTTCCCGATGGGGCAAAGGTCAGACTTTCTTCCTATCTTATGAAAGACAGAGCTCGAGACTGGTGGGAGGAGATTTGGCGCTCCGTTGGTGATGATGTGGTTGACTCGATGATATGGGATGATTTTGTGACTAGATTCCAAGCTGAGTTCGCACCAGTGATTGAGCTATAGCAACTGGCGAGGGAGTTCCATGACCTTCGCCAGATACTGAGACGTGGTTAAGATCACCACGATGTTCCGTGAGAGGGCGTTTTTGGTTTCGCAGTATGTGGCGGACGAGGAGATAATGAAGACGAGATACCATGAGATGCTGATGAATGATATTCGGAAGTTTGTGAGCCGATCCAGTTGCAGGACACTGGAGGATATGATTGCGAGAGCCATAAAGATGGAGATTGATCTTGAGATGGAGAGGAAAAGGAAGCCAGATCAGGCTTAGGTTTCAGGAGGTTTGGGAAAGAGGCCTAAGGTGTTTGATTCGAGATCGAGAGGCCAGCATGGTCGGAGCCGCTGTGGCAAGTGCGGTAAGACTCACGATGGGGCATGCAGGGTGGATGGTTCTGGATGTTTCAAGTGCGGCTGGATGGGTTATATTAGCAGGGATTGTACTATTACTACTACCACCACCACCCCATTATCTGATTTGATTTGCTTCCATTACAATCAGAGGGGCCAAAAGAAGGCCCATTGTCCGATTTGGGTAGCAGCGGGACGAGTGGTAGCACCCGCTCCAGCGACGTTAAGGATTACTGATGGCCGCCAGGGAAAGACGGATACGTCTGTGGTGAAGAGCAGGGGCTTTTCAACTAACGGCCAGGAGGCTCGTGCAACACTTGATGTGGTGATGAGTATGTATCTTCTCCTTATCTTTTTATTTATATTGAATTGCCTGCTTATATTTATGTGTTTTATTTTAGGATCGTTCCTCGTGAACGATATTTCTGCCTTGGTATTGTTTGATTCGGGGGCTTGGTCTTAACCACTAAAGACCTTTATACTTTGCATGCAAGCACTAAGTGAGTCAAGAAAGTATTTTTATGACTTAACACAACTCAAATCTTCTGAAAAGGCATCTCCTTTGGTCTTAGAGTAGCATTTACTCATTAAGTCCAAGAAAAGGGACAAAACTCATAAAACTCCATATGACTAGATCTCTAAGAAATACAAGTAAAGTTCAAGGCTTTATACCTTCTGGAGCTTCCCAAAGATATGAAGATCTCAGATCTACAAGCTTGAATCCCACACCAAAGCTACTAAAAGAATCCTTTCTTCTTTCTTCAACACCAAGAACACACACACACATACACACACACACTCAAGCTCAACACACACAAGGGCTAGGGCTTGCAAAATCGACTCAAGGAGGGTGGAGGCTGAAAGGGTGAGGGAAATGAGGTTATAAGGGGGATTATATAGGGATCAACCCTAAAAATTAGCGTTTTCAATATTTGATGAGTACACCCCGCGTACTAGGGCGCGCCCTAGTACGCTAAGCGTACACACGTACACATGGCGTACTCCCATTCCTTCCAAATTATGGTTTTTCCATTAGGGCTTCTCATGACTACTTCCTTCTATTACAGAGACCAAAAAATGACATAAATTAAAACCATAAGGATGAATTTAAAAGTACCTGAATTCCAAGGTGTTACATTATAACCGTGGAAATAGCTTTGCATTTGGATAACATTGCTACAATTAGATAGAGTTTTGAAAGTACACTGCTATAACCATAATAGAAAAAAAAATTAAAGTAGGATGCTATAATAAAAAACAAATAAAAGTAGGTTGTTATGTTGCACCTTTTGTATGGTATGAATCTTACCTTACATGTTTGGTACATGCTAAAGGCACTTGAAACAAGCATTGAAGCAACCCGAGAGGAGATTCAAAGTCCAACTGAAGTGGAGGTTGAACTCAAGCGGAGACTCGACAGTTGATCGATCATTTGATTCAGAAACAAGTTTAGATCAGTGCAAAGAGCTTTTAGCTTTTTTTTCTTTGTTTTTTTTTTCAATAAGTGATGTCTGGATAAGTGGCTTTTAAAAAATATTCAGGAAAATGAAGACTTAATTTGGCAAAATGGAAAAAATAGTTGATGACAAGTTCGTAAAACGTTAAGACTTAATTTAATTTCTTTATTTTTCTAGATATGTTTCAACATATACTTTGTACATGTCTATAGAATTGTATGTGATATTGTTTTATTTGTTTAGGTGATGAGCCAAGAAGTGTAATTCCTTTGTCCTTTCAATACTGAACGATCAAGAATAAATTGCACATCAATACAAACCATATCAAGTGGGAGGGACAAAAAAGTGAAAACGCCCAAAATATTGTCTTCAAATTAGGAAAAAAGTAACTTGCGGTTTACCACGAAATCACACTAGTTAATTAATATTAATAATATAAAATAAACACAAGATTATGGTATTTTGATATTTTACATTTAACATCCAACTTTTAATGGAGCTACGCATAAAGAGATAACATTAACCAAAGTTATCCTTAATATGCATTTTTAAAAACAACATGACCAATCTTGAAATTATTTCAAAATTAAATATTCAATCTAATATGAAGAGGCCCAACCCGGACAAAAAGGGCATTGAAGATATATAAATAAAAGCCCAACTCCTTCTTCAACAAGTTTCGCGGTACTAATTTTGCCCCTTTCTGCATTCTGCAACTTTGAAATTGAATTGAAAGCGGACATGGCGAAATCCGAACAATCATCATCATCATCTTCGATGGTAGATTCAGCTCCGCGGCCATGGGAGTCTTACAACACTGTTTATACTAACGCCAAAGCAGGTATTTCACCTCTCATCTTTCAATTACCCATAATTTCTCTAAGCATTCTAAATGCTTAAATCAATCTCTACCAAAACCATTGAAATCACCTCCTAATTAATTGAATTTCATCTCTGAATCTTTTCCAATACTGAAGTTTTCATCAACCCTCTAATTATTTTTTGTAACCGTGTTTATGTGTAACTGCGTAAACGTCTGAGCAAGGTCATGATAGTGCATCTTTCGCTAACTGAACTTGCATATTGATAGGTATGGAAGGAGTTGATAAGGAAAAAGTGCAAAGAGTAGTGTATGAAATGAGCAAAGGTTCAAAGTATTTTGAGAACGAAGAAAGAAAAGAAGCTTATATGAAACAGAAGATCGAGAACATGCGTAATCATCTTGCAAATCTAAAAGCTACTGATATATCTCATCATCAGAGGGTAACTAACTGCAACAAAAACATTATCATACTGTATGCTCCTCTTTTATTCAAGAAGATGCATCGAACAAAACATTTTTGTATGAATTAAGGAATCTCCTCCATGATTATGATAGGTTGCTGATAAACGGATTGCAGAATTAGATACTACACGTGATCTATCAAGAATCTGGTTGCATGTAGACATGGATGCTTTTTATGCAGCTGTTGAGACCTTAAGCAATCCTTCATTAAAAGGAAAACCAATGGCTGTTGGCAGCATGTCCATGATCTCTACAGCTAATTACGAGGTTCCAAAACTCAAAAATCCCTTTTTCTTTTCTTCTTCATATAAATAACAAAATCACCTCTTTCAAAACCCTAATTTCCACATTTTTCAGGCACGAAAGTTTGGTGTTCGAGCTGCAATGCCTGGTTTCATTGCATCCAAATTATGTCCAGAGTTGATATTTGTGCCTACAGATTTCAAGAAATACACATATTACAGTGACTTAACTAGAAAAGGTAAGAATTCCATTGATTCATTATTTCATTTCACTCTAAATACTTTTCTTTCATGAAATGTTTCATAAATTCTCCTCTGAAATCAGTCTATCATGAATATGATCCAAATTTCACTGCTGCAAGTCTTGATGAAGCATACTTAGATATCACAAAAGTCTGCAAGGAAAGGGATTTATCAGGTGGAGAAGTAAGTCAAAAAAAAAAATTTCTTTTCATATATATTGAAAAAAAAGTACAAATTGTAAGTCTTTTTTATTTTTAATATTTATAAAAAGGTTGCTGAAGAGCTTAGAGAAAATGTGTATAAAGCTACTGGATTAACATGTAGTGCTGGAGTTGCTCCAAATCGGTTACTTGCAAAAGTTTGCTCAGATATAAACAAACCAAACGGGCAGTTTGTTTTACCTAATGATCGTGTTGCTATAATGACATTTATATCCTCACTTCCTATACGAAAGGTACTGCATAATTACTTATATACCCTTTACCCTAATTTCACTTTTTTTCTTACTTTGATTGGATCTTTAATCTTTTAGATTGGGGGAATTGGAAAAGTAACAGAACATATCTTGAAAGATGTATTTGAGATCAAGACATGTGAAGATTTATTGCAGAAAAGCTCCTTACTTTTTGCACTATTCTCTCCTTCATCTGCAGGTATTGTGTTTTTGAAATTTTAATTTTTGTTGGTAAAAAGACGATACTACCCCTGATGGTTTTTGTACAATGTAGAGTTTTTTGTGTCTGTAGGGTTAGGACTTGGGGGAACAGAAGCGCCGAATGTTAGATCACGAAAAAGTATGAGCAATGAGAGAACATTTTCTGCAACTAAAGATGAGGCCTTTTTTAATCAGAAATTAGGTAATTTATCTTTTATCATTTCATATTTTATATTTCTTTACATAATTTTATATTTGTTAAATTCAATTTGCAGTTGAACTTTCGGAGATGCTTTCTGCTGACATGGAAAAAGAAGGTCTACATGGAAAGACACTGACACTCAAACTAAAAACCGCATCATTTGAGGTACAATTTCTTCCTTTTTTGATAGAAGGGTATTTTCGTCTTTTTTGCACTTTTTGAAAATTTGAAAATTTTAGGTGAGAACTCGAGCGATGACTTTGCAGAGTTATATAAGGTCAAGTAAAGATATACTGAAACATGCTTCAAAGCTTCTCAAGGCTGAACTTCCTGTATCACTTAGATTAATCGGTAATGTTTATTGTGTGAAAATTAAATAATAATATTTATTAACGATAATAAAGAAAATGTTTTTTTTTTTTGTAGGATTGCGTATGTCTCATTTTAATGAAGATAAAGGTGGCAGTTTATCTGATCCTACACAAAGAACTCTTTTGAATTTTATAAAATCTGGAGATGATAACAGGGAAAGTGTAGATAAAGAGCATTCAGATTCAGATCCATGTTTTGAAATTGATGATCAGAATATTTGCAGTTTAAATAATGATCATGAGGAATCAGTGGTTGAGAATTTACAAGTTACAGAAACAGGGCCTTCATCATCATCATCATCATCATCATCATCATTGATGTGGTTGGATGATTATAAGTGTTTGGTATGTGGGATTGAATTGCCTCCAAGTTTTGTGGAAGAAAGACAAGAGCATTCTGATTTTCATCTTGCTCAAAAACTTCAACAAGAAGAAGAATCAGAACAAACTTACAAAAATCTTTCATTCAAACATAGGTATGTTATATGTTATGTTGTTACACAGAACAAAACATAACAGAACAGATTGTACTGTGTTTAGTTGTAGTTTGTTTGACGTGTGTTGTGTGTTAGGATGATGAGTCAGAAAGATGGGGGTGTTGAGAAAGGAAAAGGCAAGAAGAAGCAAAAACATTCTGTTACAAATGGTGACCATATTCCCATTGATGCATTTTTTACAAAAAGGAGTTAGAATTTGTAGGATTTTGATTTTATATTTATGTGTAAAATAAACCAATAATTAATAATTTAACATATGTATATCTTGTTCATAGTTAATGATTGTGATCATTGTTCCAAAAAGTTATGGTTACCAAGAGGAATAGATTGTGTAAAATTTTAACTTAATGGAGACATGACAAATATATCATGTAAGTGTGTTCTTTTTTTGACTTGATATTAAAAGATCGACTATATATATATTTTTTTCTCTTATTGACTAGTTGTTTCTATTTCTGTTATCTTAATTGGTCACTATCAAGGTTTAGATGTTAAATTTATAAAAAATGTATATATCATTAATAATACTTTCTAAAACAACTTTCTGACACTAAACTATCACTTAAAGAATGATCACCTATTTTGTTAAATCAATCTTTATCAACTTCATTGTAGAGCACATATGTTCCGCATTTGTTGATGCAACATGCAAGAATAATGCAAGTTTCAAGAGAAGATAAACCTTAGGAAAGATTAAGTACAAAGCAAACCTTGACAATGCTGCCACAGCTTAAGGTTTTTTATTTTTATTTTTATTTTATTTTATTTTTTTTAATTATCTCGTCACTTGTATAGGAAGACCCAATAATATTTAAAAGCCAAGAAACTACATTTGGAAAAAGTTGAAGCGTCACTAAATGTGTAGCGACCCAACTTTCAAAGAATTTTATTTTTATTTTTAAGTAATCAAAACACATTCCCATAAACCGTGAAATCCAGATACAATTGTTTTAAAAACTCTTATCATTTACAATTTTATTTCAAAACATCAGAAGGTCCCATAAAAGTGTCTGAGAGAGTGCACGTCGCGCCATCACGCTTTACCCTTGCCCTTGGCCTCAGATGTACCTGAAACAAATCCACAAACTGTAAGCTAATACTTAGTGAGTCCCCCAGAGCATACCTCACACACAATCTACATAACAAATGTCATATTAGCTATAAAAGCTATCTCTACCACATAAGCCATGCATACAACATATAAGGATGTCGTGGGATCCCCCCAGGGTCTTATACCTTCGTGCCATGGGCTCCCCCATGGTCTTTACCTAGGAATGCCATGCTCCCCCACATGGTCTTAAATCCAACTACCACGGGATCCCCCCGGGGTCTTCCATGCAAATCACACATATAATCAACTAGCATATCATATATCACAGAGGTATCTATCATACTACCTAACACATACATAAACATATAAGGTTGTCGTGGGCTCCCCCCAGGTTCTTATACCATCATGCCATGGGCTCCCCTACATGGTCTTCACCTAGGAATGTCAAGGGCTCCCCCACATGGTCTTGTATCCAACTGCCACGGGCTCCTCCCGGGGTCTTCCATGCAATAACATACATAATCACTAGCATACCACTTATCATAAAGCTAACTATCATACCACATATCTCTACTATAGTTAGAGTACCACATATCGTAAAATGGGTTGGCCTTGGTGCCGTAGACCCATTGGTATGGTGAGAAGACTCACCTCTCGGATGCTGAACAGACAAGCTAGAATCATATATGTCCCACGTGCTGCTCCCACTCAACTGCCTATAATCATTATGTGATTAACTTGTCATAATCCCATAATTGCCCTTAAAGTCAACCCTGGTCAAAATCAAGGTCACCGGTCAATATCAACAGTCCATGTTGACCTCAACTCGTCGAGTGCATCCAGCAACTCGTCGAGTTTCTGAGTAATTCACCCACTCGCCGAGTTACCTGTGTAACTCGCCGAGTCCCTCCGAAAACCCATGAAACCTAAAACTCAATGTCAACCGAAAACTCATGACAACCGAAAACTCATGGGACCGAAATCCCTCGGGATACCTGAAAACATGTAAACCCTACTTGACTCGTCGAGTCAGCTAAGGGACTCAACGAGTTCCTTCAGTCTTCATCAAGTTTAGCCCTTTTCAGTGGGATCTAAGGTCCCAAACTCCAGATCCAAGCTCTCCTAGTGCATATACCACGTAAAGTTGCAAACTTTACGTGCATGCAAGGTCCTTCAAGGCTATAACTTCAAAACTAGGCTTCTTACAAGGTTTTTGTGCATGGGAATTGACTAAATTACATAAAGGAAGCAACTTTATGGAATTTGGGACCTAAAGAGGTCCAGATCTAGAACCCTATCATTGTGATAAGTCCAGATCCAAGTTTGACTCCATTTTGCACTAAGAATGGCCATTTACTTCCAAGAAAGGAGATCGAAGTAACTATAGATCAAGATCAAGACTTTATAGCTTAGGATGCTGGCAAAAATGATGTGGATGCTGGATCTACTGTTCCTCTCCTATCTCATTCTTCTTCAAGCTCTAAAGTTCTTCACAGTTACCCCAAGGTTGCTCACAATTGCTCTTTCTTTCACTCAAGAGGGTGCAAGGTCGATCTAGGGTTTTCTCTGGCTGATAGGGTGCTAAGGGAGGCCACAAGAGGAAGGATAGGTTCTTTAAATAGGGTGCAAACCCTAAAAATTAGGGGTTCTCTTTACAACTCCTACTCGCCGAGTCGGCCTTTCGACTCGTCGAGTAGGTCTCGATCCCGCGTCAACCCATAATGCTCCTACTTGACGAGTTGAACTCCCAACTCACCGAGTCCATGCACAAAACCTTAAACTTAAATAAATAATTTAAGTAATGCTTGGAACAGGTGTTACAAATCTCCCCCACTTGAACTAGACTTCGTCCTCGAAGTCTGCCGACCCAAATAAATCCGGGTAGTGGTCTCGCATCTCGTCCTCCGGCTCCCAAGTCCTTTCGGAGCCCCTTCGGTGTTGCCATTGCACCTTTACCAGCTTAACTTCCTTGTTCCGTAGAACCTTGGTCTTCCTATCTAGAATCACCATAGGCCTCTCAATGTAGTTCAGGCTCTCATCCACCTGGATGTCGTCCATAGAGATGACTGCGGCCTCGTCCGTGACACACTTCCTAAGTTGTGATACATGGAAGGTGTTGTGAATCTGGTTGAGCTCATCCGACAGATCCAAGCGATAAGCCACCTTGTCCACCCGGGTCGTGATCCTGAACGGTCCAATATATCGGGGCCCTAGCTTGCCCCTGTTCCGAAACCTGATGACTCTTTTCCATGGAGACACCTTTAGTAGCACAAAGTCCCCCACCTGGAACTCAAGATCCGATCGCCGCCTGTCGGCATAACTTTTCTGACGACTCTGCGCAACTCGCAGCCGGTCACGCACCTGCTGAATCAGTCCGGTAGTCTTGAGCACTACCTCAGTACTCCCCATGACTCGGTGTCTAACCTCGTCCCAACAAACCGGAGTCCTGCATCTCCTACCATACAACATCTCAAAAGGAGGTCAGTTGATGCTGGCATGGTAACTGTTATTATATGAAAACTCTGCCAGTGGAAGGTATGCATCCCAACTCCTTCCAAAATCCAACACACATGCTCGCAGCATGTCCTCGAGTGTCTGGATCGTCCTCTCGCTCTGGCCATCCGTCTGGGGGTGATATGTCGTACTAAAGTGCAGCTGAGTGCCCAGTTCCTTGTGGAACTTCTTACAGAACCTAGATGTAAACCGAACATCCCTGTCAGAGACTACCGACACCGGCACCCCGTGTCTAGCCACCACCTCCCGCACGTAAATATCCGCCAACTTCTCGGCGGATATACTCTCAGAGATCGGAATAAAGTGGGCACTTTTCGTTAGTCTGTTTACGATCACCCATATGACGTCCACACCCATCTCCGTCCTCGGTAACTTCGTAATGAAGTCCATAGTGATCTCTTCCCACTTCCACATGGGAATGGGTAGCGGCTGAACCTTTCCATGAGGCCGCTGATGCTCGGCCTTGACCCTCTTGCAGGACAAGCACCGCTCTACAAACCAGGCGATCTCCCGCTTCATGCAAGGCCACCGGTAACTCAGTCTCAAATCTCTATACATTTTTGTAGCCCCTGGATGTATAGAGAACTTGGACTTGTGCGCCTCCTCCAATATCTTCTGCCTCACACCCCTGGTCACCGGTACCCATACTCGGCCACACTGTATCAAAAGGCTACGACCATCCTTAACAAACAAAGGATACTGCCCCCGAATCCGCTCTATCATTGTAACACCCATAAAATCAAGCAAAATTTAAACTTTTAAAAACGTTTCAAAACCGTTAATCATTACAAAACTTGTTTTCAAAATGCGTAATATCAGAGTATCCCAAAAACAAAGTCATAAAAAAATGAGGAGTTGTACGATCACGCATTTGCCTTGCCGCAATCCTCTGATGTACCTGGAACAATAAACTAAAACTGTAAGCCCGAGAGCTTAGTGAGTTCCCCCAAAATACCCATACCCACAACAATACACATATACTCATAAACAACATACTATGGGTCCAGTCAACCATCGGGTTGGAATACCCCAGGCCCTCAACCATCCGGTTGAAATGCCAACATACTATGGGTCCAATCATCCTCGGGATGGAATACCCCAGACCCACAACCAACAGGTTGGAATGCCCACACACTATGAGCCTAATCATCCTCGGGATGGAATACTCACGGCCCACAACCAACAGGGTGGAATGCCCAGGTCTATTGGCTTCCGCATAAAGCAGGTAAGCCTCAACCGCCAAACAAACATGTGCACATATACCAGATAGTCACATAACAGTCTATAGACAAGCAAACTGATCTAACGGATCATATCACATAACACACAATACCATCCTATCTACCAGGATGCCGATCTAACAGATCATACTAGCATAACATATCCAGATAACCATCCAAAGGGCCGACCTTGGTGCCTTAGACCCTTGAGTATAGTGAGGATAACTCACCTCTCAACTGTCGTCTCGAAAGATAAGCTCAAACTCTCGGATCACCGCCCCAAACTCCACCACCTATATTTACCATAGAACCATACTCGTAAATTTCCAATTTCCCAAAATGCCCCCGAAGTCAATTAGTCGACCCTTGGTCAAAGTCAAAGTCAACGGTCAAGGTCAACAGTCCATGTTGACCCGACTCGTCGAGTGCAGTCACTGACTCGTCGAGTCCT